CCCAAAAAAAAAATTTAAACATGTAAATTAAATTTAAATCTGGAAATTATACAGTTTGAATGTCCACAGTATAAAAAGGTTGGGAACCGCTGCCAGCCCACACCCCATGCTCCTACCACCCTACTCTGGGCCCCACAGGCCCTGCTCACTTCTGCTCCCTTCCCCACCTCCTGCCTCCAGTTTCCCAACTTTTCTTCCCACCCACCGACTGCTCTGCACCCCATAGCTCTCATAACCACAATACCCCTCCCACACAACCCCCCCACCCCATACCACCTGTCACCATGCACACTTCACACAATATACAAGTAAGACTGCATTTTATGCTTTTATGCAATCACTTCTACATATATAGCACAAACATATATAGCACACAAATCAGATCAAATATATTTTTAAAAATTAAATTAAAAGATATTATTATGGGTATTTGATTTTTAGTATATAACTTGTATGTTTTTCCCCTAAGATGGCAAACCCTCTTCCCCAAAGGAGTATGTCCAGGGGCAAGAGGAGGGACTTCTTCTGGCAAAGGTCAGAGGTTAAGGGGGTGGGACTTCCAGTCCCAAGATAGCAACCAGGGGGTGGAGCTACCCATGTGGCCCTCGACAGCTTGCCAAACCTCAGTAAGCGGCCCTCTGCCTGAAATAATTGCCTCTCCCTGAACTAAACTGTTGTCAGTGGTGACAGATGATAGAACAAGGAGCCATGGTCTCAAGTTGCAGCAAGTGAAGTTTAAGTTGGATATTAGGAAGAATTTTCTCACTAGGAGGGTAGTAATGCACTGGAACATGTTACCCAGAGAGGTGGTGGAATTTCTGTCCTTGGAGGTTTTTAAGATCTGGCTGGAGAAAGCCTTGGCTGGTGTGATGTAGTTGGGGATGGCCCTGTGTTGAGCAGGGGGTTGGACTAGATGACTTCCTGAGGTCCCTTCCAATCCTAATTTTCTATGATTCTATTGGTTCAGCTGAAGCATTATACAAAGAGGCAACTTTTTAATTACAAACATTCAGTCTTTAGGGTACTGGTACCTAAAGGGAATGCCTCTCCATATTGAAATGCTTTCTCAAACCACTACAACAGTGGGTCTTTCAGTGCTTTGAAGCCTAACATGTAGTTGCGTCTGCAGGAGAACTGGTCGTATCCTGTGTTTTGGGGAATACTAATTAAAAACATACATTGCATCAAGCATCAGGAGTGGGTTGCTCTTTCAGCTTGATTTGAGTTGGCATATTGAAAGGCAAAGGTACCCTTCCTAGGAATAATTGGGCTGAGAGAAGATGACTCCACTGTGAAACAGCTGTTATGTTTCATAGTTTCATAGTTTCTAGGGTCGGAAGGGACCTGAGCAGATCATCTAGTCCGACCCCCTGCCATGGCAGGAAAGAGTACTGGGGTCAAATGACCCCAGTAAGGTGGTCATCCAACCTCCTCTTAAAAACCCCCAGGGTGGGAGCCTGCACCACCTCACTTGGAAGCTGGTTCCAGACCCTAGCCACCCTGACCGTGAAGTAGCGCCTCCTGATGTCCAACTTAAACCTTCCCTCCACCAGCTTGTGACCGTTGTTCCTGGTCACTCCTTGCGGCGCTCGGGGGAACAGGGACTCCCCCAGCGCCTGCTGATCCCCCCTAACCAGTTTATAACAGGCCACAAGATCCCCCCTCAGCCTTCTCTTTTGAAGGCTGAACAGGTTCAGGTCCCGCA